GGCTGCCCCAGACGAAAGACTTCTTGTCACGGGTCTCCAGCGTCACTACTGCGGTATCCGCGACGGCTGGCGAGCGAGTGGCGGGGGAGGGGGCCGAGCGCGGGCTCTCACCCGAGCCCCCCGGCCCCGGCCCGTGCGGGGGGGGGGTGCGGAGCGGGCGGCAGCGCGGGGCGGGTGGGCCCTGCCCGCATCGTCTGCTCCGTCAGCGTTCTCCTCGGTCACGGGGAGTAGCCTTGCCGCTCTACCTCCGACCTCACTCTCAAACTCACCTTCTAGCTCCTGCCATCGTGCTCCTAGGCCCATCGTGATCGGCTTCCGTCGGTCCTTCTAGCTAAGCCTTGCCGCTCTAGGGCTCGGGTGGGGAGGCAGCGGGTACAGCGCGAGGCCTGGGCCCTCGCGACATTGCCTGTCGGATGGCTGCCTCCTAGTCCTCTCGTCGCACGGGGCGCGCGCACTTGCTTGCCTGAGGCTGCTAGCCCTGCTGACCCTTCACTCTGCTCTCACCGGTCTAGGGCCCATCCGCCGGCTCCGCTAGGGGGCCGCTCTGACTCCGTCACGGTCTCGCTCCACCCCTAAGCCTTGCTGGCCCTCTACCCTCTGGACTCCTTCCCTCAGGCCACCCCTAGCAGGCCATGCCGCCGCGGTCCGGTCTCGCATGCGCAAAGAAGGCACCGCCCGGGGGGGCACGGGGCGGGACGGGGGCGGGGGTAGGGGGCGGCAGTGAGCCAGACTGGTCCCAGTCTCTCGCCGCCGCTCGGGCACTGCATTCAATAGGGGCGGAGGCATGAGCAGGCGAGGCGTCTCTCGTCGGACGGGGGGGGGGGGCCGGGGCGCACGGCGTACGGCCCGGCCGCCGCCCGCGGGGTGTGGGGGCCCCCTGGGGCGGGCGCGGTCGAGACGGTCTGGGCTCGGCCGCACGCGCCTGCTGCCGCTCCTCCCTCGGGCAGGGCGGGGTCGGCGGCGCGGCGGGGGGGGGGGGGGGGGGGGGGGTCAGGTAGGGCGCTAGCGAGTTCGTGCAAACAAAGAGATTGTCCAGCACTGGGAGTCAGAGGGTAGAGCGATGGCGGCTAGAGGTGAGCAGAGAGTGAAGGAGTCAGAGGGTAGAGCGGCAAGGCAAGGGAAGGAGAGTGAAGGGCGACAGAGAGAATAAGAGACAGAATGAGAAAGACGTAGAGAGAGAGAGAGATAGTGTACAAGCGAACGAGAGCACATGCAGAACACGTACACTCACTGCTGATGTTACTGCCGCTCTGTAACCTGTCACTGTGTTTGCAGGCAAGACGACGCTGGCCGCAGCCGAGGCGACAGACGACGCGGGAGCCGGGGAAGGTTGGGGAGCAGACGCCGAACTCCTCCTGGACGACGAGGAGGGCTTCCCACAGGAAGGTGAGAATCCCCATCCGAGGGCCCGGTTTCCTCCGTTCATCATTCTCCTCAATGATGGCGCTTACTTGTGGAAATGGGTTACGATCACAGTGGTTTCTTTCACGGAGAGTAATGATGGTTACTTCTGAAAATCGTAGCTTTGCCTTGGGGTTGTGCAGTACTGTGGTGAGATGGCCCTCACCACATATTCCCCCTTTTACCCATATTGTCGATGAGTGGGTACTCCCCACTCTGGTTACCAACGCGACCCTTGTTAATTAACCGTCTCTGTCTCAGGGTTCGTAGCGGGTCTTCCAAAGTCTTATAAGTGCTTATTTTGCCAAAAAATAAAATAAGGGCCCTTATTAGTACTTATTTTTGGTGAAATCTTAGAAAAGTACTTAATAGTCCTTATTTTTTGCCAAAGGACCAATTATTTTATAAACTGTTCTCGACTTAGAGTAAGAATTGTTGTATATATATAATACGGAATAATTAAATCTGCTGTGCAATTGTGTATATAAATATTTAATTATTAGTGTACTTTAATAGTCGCGTAAAAAAGTCTTATTTTGGCCTCCAGAAAGGGTCTTATAAGTCCTTATTTCAACATGTGTCTTACTACTATGAACCCTGTGTCTGCTGCCGAAGAAACACTTCTAACTGTTGCTTGATGTTGCCAGGACAACTCTGCTCACTGTTGCTCACTGTTGCTACGACAACAATGCTAACTGTTGCTTGATGTTGCCAGGACAACACTGCTCACTGTTGCTACGACAACAATGCTAACTGTTGCTTGATGTTGCCAGGACAACACTGCTCACTGTTGCTACGACAACAATGCTAACTGTTGCTTGATGTTGCCAGGACAACACTGCTCACTGTTGCTACGACAACAATGCTAACTGTTGCTTGATGTTGCCAGGACAACGCTGCTCACTGTTGCTCACTCTTGCTACGACAACACTGCTAACTGTTGCTTGATGTTGCCAGGACAACGCTGCTCACTGTTGCTCACTATTGCTACTACAACAATGTTAACTGTTGCTTGATGTTGCCAGGACAACTCTGCTCACTGTTGCTCACTCTTGCTACGACAACAATTCTAACTGTTGCTTGATGTTGCCAGGACAACACTGCTCACTCGTGCTCACTCTTGCTACGACAACAATGTTAACTGTTGCTTGATGTTGCCAGGACAACGCTGCTCACTGTTGCTCACTCTTGCTACGACAACACTGCTAACTG